TCTTTGCTTTTGAGTATTGGGTAATCTATGTATGCTTATTTCATGCCGTAAGAATCCCAACATTCAATGTGTTTTATTGTGTTGTGGTAGGTATTTTGGTTTCGAACTATCATGTCTAACATAACAGTCTTTTCTACTTTCAGTTCCCTACGCGTGCCCACTTTGAGGTCACCGTGGGTTGTGTGACCTTGAAAACTGCGCTTCGTTATGCGAGTATTTCGAAGGTAAGCAGTTAGCTGAGCCGGGATGAAAGCAAATAAACAGTGAAATTCGATTTATACCGGAATAAAATGATACATTTGCATCAGTGATGATTTTCACCTCCATTGACTGTCGCCAGAACCCGCAACCAGCATTCGTGCTGAACGCTACAGCAACCGAACGGCCGTCCAGCAAACCTGGCAGCACGTTCACAGTGACCACGTGCGTGGCAATGAATCCGACCTTCTCCCCAGTCGACCTCGCTAGTCTGATTGTGGACATGCCTTCCGGTTACGTGCCAGTGAGCGCCAGCGTCCGAGAGTTGAGACACAGTCACCGTAAGAACCGTTCGGGGAGGGGAGGAAGAGAGAGAGAGAGAGAGAGAGAGAGAGAGAGAGAGAGAGAGAGAGAGAGAGAGAGAGAGAGAGAGAGAGAGAGAGAGAGAGAGAGAGAGAGAGAGAGAGAGGAGAGAGAGAGAGAGAGAGAGAGAGAGAGAGAGAGGAGCCAGTGCTAGCATAGCATCCGCGAGCAGAGATATGGTCGCAAGCAAGTAAAGTTATAGTTCTTTTTTTTAGTTTGCCCCTCACTGTAAACGTCTTTTTGAACACAGCACGAGAATTGCTAGCTGAATTATTGAAAAAAAAACTGGTTGGCGCGCATTGATTTGACCAGGGCCCAATCTTACCAAATGCCGTGAATGCGCATTCACGGCATTTGGTAACATTCAGAACTATTCCACATTCACTTATTCATTTGTTCAGGCAACATGCATAATCATTCACGCTATCAAAATCATTGGACAAGATTAGCTGAGTGTAAATAAAAGAAATATCTTTGATATCAGAGCCGTTAACTCCGGCCAGTGCTGCCAAATCCTATTTACGGCATTGGTAAGATTGGGCGATTTCATAGACGATCAATTTCATCAGATTTATTTACTATTTCACAGACTCGTAGCTCGTATTTGCCAATACCTACAGCCCCACAGGGATAGACGACTTCTCAGGAATTATGTGTGAACTAATAAAGAAATTGCACGGCGCTTAACATAACGTTAAATCGTTGGTGTTCAAAACTTATTTTGAAAATATTATTCATATATACAAAACAATGTGCGCTAACCAGTTTTCTCAGTAATTCAACTAGCAATTCTCGTGCCGTGTTCAAAGAGACGTTTACAGTGAGGGGCAAACTTAAAAAAAAACGAACTATAGTCGATGACTGAAGGGGTCGAAAAATAAACCTTGAAAGGCAATATTGCGTTTGCACATATACAATATACATGCAACGTCTATCTTATGCACTAAGGATGACGTGTACTTGAACATTATAAAAAAGATGCCGAAGTTATACATTCATTTAACAACTTTTTCCATGGCTAAGGGCTAAAGCCGTGGTTCTTCAAACCCTATGAGTAAGATGTTTCCATTTGCTCTCCGCCATCACCACTGTCTTATCTATTTGCAATTTCGATCTCTGTTCGTGCCCTCAGAAATCAAAGGCCTCAAGATAGTGAATAATGACGCTGTCGAAGTACAGTTGGAGAACATCACTCAGAAGACCAAGTGTTTTAGCTTCCGTATCGTGCGTGAAACTGTCGTCGAGGAGCCGAAGTGGGCCATTGTGAACGTCATCGACTATTTTAGCCTATCCCGTCGTGCTGAAACGTTACGTGGGGAGCCTAAAAAGGAACATCCACTGATACCTAAGCAAAAGTGCTTATGTAGTGTGGTTGTGAAGAAGTCATTGCATAGCTGAAGAAAAAGCAATAGCTATCGGTGTTCTAACTACAGTTCCGTTGTTTATTAAATCTCATGGCTAAGAGTTACAATAAAAAATGACAATTCTATCTAAATCTGATATATTTTAGAAATTCGACAACAATGTTCCATCGTCAGTGAATGGTACAAAATATTTTATACAATATTTTGTACTATTTTTTAGATCAGTTACAGACGATAGCACATTGTTGTCGAAATGTAAAAAGTATATCAAATTTAGATTATGATAATCATTTTTGATAGGCTACTCTTGGCCACCACATTTTGTAAATATGTCTAACAATACTGAACAGTGAATAAGTCCCGTTGTTTCCATTCGTTTTTATTATCGAGATTGAATGATGGCAATTATATTTCGCAGACGTATACGCTACAGTAGAGTACCACCGCTCCCAGCGGTCGGCAAACCCACGAGTCTACTGAGGCCAGACATGGAACGGCAATTGGAGCACAATTAAGTGGTGGCGTAAACTGCACGTGCTCACTCCACGGGGCATAAGAAGTGTGCAATATTCCACCATGATATCACATGCTTCGGTTGATTTTGAAACTGAATTAACGTTTTATGAGGTTTATGTAAGCTATAAATTCGTATAGTGTTAAAGCTGAATTTTAAAGGGACCCTCCCACCTTCACAAAAGTTAATGAATTGGCATGAAAGTGATGTCGCTCGGTTCAGAAAGAGTGAAAACGAATATCGACCAAAATTCACCGACAAATATTCACCAGTTTTCAAGGTTCAAGGTTTTCAAGACTTTCACTTTTGTTTCACTTTTTGGGATCTCCGCTGTTCCTAGTGACTTTATTTGGAAGCAATAGTTTGGCAGCTGAAAGTGCGGCACTTGTCGCGTGCAAAGCAGCATATACCACCGCGTGCTTCCAAACGTTTTTACGAGCGAGCGAGCGCAGTGAGCGAAGCGAAGTCTTTTCAATATAACGGACAAATCTCAGTATGAGCGGCCCGGCCCGGCCCGGCCTGTAGCGCTTTTGAGAGGCTTATATCTCAGCAACCGCTGGACCGATTGGCCTGCGGTCTTTTTTGCTGGGTAGCCCCATCCCTTCTTCCCCGTAATTGACTACTTTTGATACATCTCAGTGACCGTCGTGGCACGTGCCACGTGAAAAGTCAAGGGTGTTCAAGCAGTTTTGCAAAAGTAATGATTTTGAGAGGCCTAGGGGAGACCCGGGAGGTATGGGCCCCCTGGAGGTATGGGCCATCGCAGTTTTGAAGAAGTGTTGCGTGTTTTTACACATTTGACCGCGTAAACTGGTAGCAGCCATACCGTTATACAACCCATGTGATTTTCAAAATCTTCGCCAGTCTTCTTTGGCAGTGAGGGGTGATAAAGCGTTTTTGCCCTCTTCTAGTAAAATACTGTACATACAGAAAATTCGTGATAAATTTGAACCAGGCTCGTTTTATGATGTCAGACCAATGCTAACATTAAGTTTAAAGCATGCCAATTAGGGCTGGAGAGACAATATGAAGCTCTCTTGCAAGATTGTGAGCTAAGATGCTACGCAAATTCTGGCGTCCTAACCGGGAGGTTCGGGCCACCCACCCCTGTTGATCCTAAATCAGTAAAAAAATGCTTTCATTGATTGTCATCTTTAATAAGTTTTATTTTTGTCGCGCAAGGTTGAAAACTTAGCTTTAAATTTCATTCGAACAGAAAAATATTATATATTTTATTTCATGGTGCATGATTGAGTTTACCAAAATACATATGTGCCCAAGTGACCTGCATGAAGTAAGCTGTTCGCCGCTTATGCGGTTCCTGGGCTCTAAGAGAGATCAAGGTAGATACCAGCTACGAGCATTGTTCTCATTGTCGAGAAAAAGATATGAAACATGGCACCGGCCCATACCTCCCGGGCCATGGCCCATACCTCCCGGTGCATTTTGATGGATCGAAAAAGCGCATGATTTATTAAAAGTTATCTCGAGACAAAACAGTTCATACCAGATGCCTAATATCAGGCACACTTTGCAGGCGAAAGGCAATTTCACGTGCACAGAGTGAAAAATCGGGTGTAGCCACTGCCCACTGGAAGAAAATTGCCTTTTCACAAAACCGGCCCATACCTCCCGGGTCTCCCCTATATCTCAGCAGCGGCTTGAGCAATTGTCTTGCGGTAATTTTTATAGGGTAGCTGCATCCCTTCTACCAAAGGTCGGATACTCTTGATCTATGTGAGTGACCCCCACTACACGTGCAAAATACAAAAAGAAGAGGTGCCAAATTTGTTCCCATTTCAGTAACTCGGTAATTACTGGGGCGATTTCGCTGAAACTTGGCATACAGGTAGGCACCCACCAGGCAATGCATTCCCATGTGTTGCGGTTAGGGTGCTACTGCACGTGCGCACGTGCAGGGGGCGTTTCCAGATCTCGAGAACGGCTGGGCCGATTGCGCTCAAATTTGGTACACGGTTGGGGACCGGTTAGTAGGGTGCCGTGCAAAAGTCATTTTGGACCCCGTTTGCACGTGCGCACGTGCAGAATGCCGCTTCCAGATCTCAGGGACGGCTAGGCCGATTGCGCTCAAATTTGGCACACCGCTAGCGACCGGTTAGAGGGGTGCTTTGCACAAGCCCGCTGAAAACACCCTCTCGCCCTTCCGCACGTGCAGGGCTCACTATCTCGCTCGCTCGTTCTTCGCCCAAAAGGCGTTTTACTGGTAGTAAAACATTTAAAATCGTTAGATCTGCGCTGACGTCACACATTTAGAGGGGGCATTCAAATGCATTCATTAGCCCTCTGGATCCAAGGTGCTGCAACTTTGAAATGAAATATTTTCGATTTGAGGCATTTCTCGATGTTGTAAGTGCCCAAACCGATAAGTGCAAGCCAGGGACCCCAGTTTGGCTATCTCAACTCAAAACTAATTTTAAGGTGGGATGGTCACTTTAACAACAGGGTAGCTACAGTTTTATATATGCCTTGTGGGAACTTTGAGGAAAAACTATTCGGGAATTTCCTCAGATAATTTTTGGGACGCTTTTATGTGTAGGGACTTCATGCAGAGCTTGTATCGCATTTAATAATAAATGTGTGCAGTTTGACATGTTTGTGATCCATCCAAAGTCACTATTCTTTGATACGACTAACCACTGAGCAGTGAGCACTATCAACAAGCGACGGAGCGATTCCTTTGCTCGACATATAATACCTAACACTGATGAAATTTATTATTATTTTTTCTAGCATTTTAACTAGCTAGCTACCTTTTCTGTGCGGGCTTTGTCTTCTGACTCAGTTCAAAATTGATAGCGTCGTAGTCAGAATCGCCGATGGCATTCGTGAACTGACGAATGCGATCCCTGACTTGTAGGCTTCAGGGAAGTTCTACTGGTTTTAGGGAAATATTGTCCTCAGTGACTTCGCGTACAGACCTCACCTGGCGGGCCGAGGAACATCCAGAGTGTGGTCGAGTGCCGAGCGTCAGCGGACAGATCCAGGGTCTACATAGACTTTGAGGCGACGGGAGGATCTTCAGTTTGTGTGTTGTACACTGTCCATCGTCCCTGTCCTTTTAGCGAGTTTGAGTTTGATCTTCTTCTTTTTCTTATGGGGAGTTCGTTCCATTTTAAGTAGCTGATACGTCATATAAGAATACTTCTCTATGAATACGCCAAGAACAACAAATACAAATAGAATTAACTACATAGAACTATAGGCTAGTGGCTACCATTGGTTAGGCGAGTCTCCTTAACGAATTTCATGAGCATTCTGTGAGAAACACCAGCCGCATATCTTCAGCCTAGAGATGAATATATTTCCCTGATCACCCGTCTTTCCGGCATCAATTCATAAATGTCTTTATTCAGAAAGGGAACATGTAAAATAGATTGATGTAGAAGTTATAAAGATTACAAACAACAACTTTAGACGGCTACGTTCAGTGTTTCCAACGATCACAGCGATAGAGCTCGAGCTCCTCAATGTGAGGCGCCCCGCTCAGAAACATTCAGATAATCCTCCAGAGCTTTGCCCAGAGCCCAAACATTAACCATCATGTCGTTTCCTTCCCAAGGAACGACACTGCCATCTGTTGTCGACAGTCGGCTCCTCTGATTATCCAAGCTGCCGCCAGGGTCGCTAGTAGCGGCCGAGGTTGACGGTCGCTCCTCCGTTCCGTCGATTTTTCCGAACGCTTGCTGTAGGCGCATGATATCGTTTGTCTTGCAGACGATACCACCACCTCTTTCGGAATACTCCATAGCTGGCATGGAGAGTGACCTGGCTCGTGTCACCTCCGGCGTAGCTGGGTGCTCGTTGTGGAACTGAATCGTGACGCGGCGCGAGCGCTCACTGAGAACGTCCACCGGCGGCGCGTCGTAACGACGCAGCAGGCATCGCACGCGACCCGGGGTCGGCACGCGCTGTACCAGCCCCAGCAGACGCATCGTCGGAGCCGACACGTTCCCGTTACGGAGGTCGGAGACCACGACCTCTGCGGCGCGCTTGCGAGGCTGAGTTTCTGAATCTCGCCTATAGGTGTCTCTGTGGCGAATGTTGGGAACCATTGCGTCCGGCTCGCTGGAGAGACGACGAAGCGCGCGGAGAGGTGGCGCCATCAGGGGTCTGTTGGCGATGATTTCACTATGACGGCGTTGTGTGGACATGGCGCCTCCTTTTCCCGTGTCCACGCCTGTGAATAGAGGCGTGCCACGTCTTCGCAGTCGCGTTGACGTCGTTGATGGCGGCCCCGATCCACGTCGTTCGAAGCTGTGCAGCGGCGCCAGCAGAGTTGTGGTAGGTAGTGGCTGCGAAGCACGTCGAGCATGTCCTTGTGTCGCACCAATCGCTTCGCGAGGCGTCATTGTTTCTCTCCCCGCAAACGAGGTACTTCGCCTTCTTCTGGGGATCACAGTCGGGCTGAGAGTGGACATGGGGGCTCGTTGGTATGTCTGATGGGAGTCTGTGTCGACCTTTGCTTTCCCTATACAACTGCTGTCGTCACCGTTACCTCTGAAGCCGATCCCGCTCCGACCCGACCGCAGCGACATCTGTGGCAAGCTCTTTAGCGACGGTGGCGCCACCTGCATGGGTCGCCGCGATGTGCTGTCGGGCACGGTCGGCCGCTCGGAGTCAGCCAGTTCGATGACAATTTTCGGCGTCACCGGACGATTTTCACGGACGAGCGGTGTGAATTTCGACTTTCGTTCGGTCTGAGTGCTGGGTCGAGAGGAGAAAATCGTGCTTGATGAGGGTGGAAGCCTGGGTGACAGAAGCGGTCCGGTTGGGAACGTAGCTGGCCGAGCTTTTCGGTTGACCAGGGAACGAGGGGTGACCCCACGAGAGCTACGAGCGTGAATCATACCAGAAGGTTTTCTCAGTGGTTTGTGTTTACGACAGCTCTATCAAATGGTCATGATGATTATCACAATAATTAACCAGTGACTGCAATTGTTATAATCGACCGTTCAATATCGGCAATAGCCAGATGTTCACTTGAAGGCTTGGTAAGCGACGCTGATGAAAACTGAATGCTGTATCTATCCTTCTTCCTTTGATCTTCTTTCCTTTGGTCCGATTTACGAGTTCCTTGGTTTATCCCAAACTCGGAAGACGGTGCTGTCGTCTGTCAGACGGTGCTATCAGCTCCGTCAGTAGCTCCTCGGGAAGAAATTGATTCGCAGTCCTCGTAATCCAGTTTTCAATCTCGATCCACTGCAAAGAAAGAAAAATGTGTTAGCATCACACGGAAACAACAATACCGACCGTGGTCCGTGGGCATCCAGGGGAAAAAATGCATTAACCCTCGCCCATGTAGGGGGGGGTTGGTGCAACCCCCCCCCTGAGGCTTTCGGAAATAGTGCAAAAACGGCGGCGCGCAGCGCCGCCAAATTTTGGGTACCTTATGGGGCAAACCTTGCGCATCTTTTGATAAAAAAAATTTGACCGGGTCATGTCAGGTCACGGAGTTATGACGTCACAAAGGGAACAGCCTCCGGCCGGATTTTCACAAACTGAGTGCCAACGCCCGAGGTTTCCTGCCGGTGGTACGGACATCGGTTGATGGATCGTGATGAAACTTCCCATGCATGTTGGAGCAAGTATTGGCTATCATATGGTATAAACAACTTGACCGGGTAAGGTCAGGTCACGGAGCTATGACGTCACAAGAGGAACAGCGTCCGGCACTATTTTTGAAAAGCGCCCGAACCACTATTTTGCTAATTCTTTTCACCTCAATGGGAATATGCAGCAATATTAGCTTCTATAGGGAGCAAATGGACCTCCCAAATCCAAAAATACAATCAGATTTAAAAAATTTAAATTTTGATTTTTCGAATTTCTGCCGCCGACTGTGACCTTGCCGACTTCCGGCGCTCCCAACGCGCCATTTTTAGAGCTAGGGAAACGAAATACATACCAAACGATAGAGAATTGATCAAGGAACACGATAGTGAAGGTTTCAAGTCGATACCTCCCACCGTTTTGCCGCAATCGCCGCCGAAAGTTGAAAAAAGTCTATTTTTCCGAAAATTTGACCTTTGACCGGTCAAAAGTAGGTCAAATGTTGACCTAGGACCAAAAAATATACCACCAATCGCGAGATCTCGTTGAGAGCAATCCGTTGGTTTTTTCCGCTAAGCTCTACGACCTTCCGTTTCGAAACGCCAGGGGGGGTCGTAACAACCCCCCCCCCCTGGTCGTTCGTGTTATGAGAAATGGCGTCGTGCGAGGGTTAAAGTCAACGTTTTTTTATGATGAGGCAACATCGAGCTCGCTGTTACTGATTAGTTTAATTGCAAAAATATGCCATCTCTCTTCTCCCCTCTCGTATTCATTTCGTTTTTACTCTCTCCTTCCCTCGCACTGCTTTTCCTTTAACCCTCGCCCTGGCAGGGGGGGGGGGTCGATGCGACCCCCCCCCTAAGGTTTTTCGAAGATAGCGTAAAAACGGCGGCGCGCAGCGCCGCCAAATTTGGCACAGCCTATGGGGCAACCTTTTTACATATGACCTGAAAATTTCAGGTCCGGGTGACCTTGGGTCAGGTCACCAGGTCAGAAAAACCGGTACAAGGTCATGGTCAAATTTCAACTTTCTTTTTGCACCTGTACAACTCACAGTTCTCGACTGATTTCCTTCAAACTTTCAGGATGTGCTAAGTTCACCGAGTTGTATAACATATAGTTCGGGTTTTTTGAGGTCACTGACCTGAGGTCAGTTAGAGGTCATTGCGTCGTAATGTTAAGCCTATGGGAAAATACTAAATTCGGAAAATACTGGAGATATCCGCTTCGTTCTATCACTTTTGTGCTTTGAAACCACAGTACTTAACAGCAGGTCACTTGGTGCTTCTTTGTTTGGTGTACTTATCCATGAGTCAGGTCAAATGAGGTCAACTGAGGTCAAATCACATATTTTCCAATAACTTGGCACATAATGACGCTAGAGCTTAAAAAATGGCGTCATTGTGTTCCTGGTGATCAGCCGAATCGAATGATATGCGATATGATGCAATTTGGTTAATTTGAACTTAATTAGTTAATTAAAGTTTACTTAAAAATTAAGAAAAACTTTAGGTACAATTAAGCAAGCTAAAAAGTATATCATTCGACGCGCCTTGACGTGCTGAGTTCACTGGTGCTTTTCTTTTTGCTCTATCTTAATTAGATCAAAAGTTATAAGCGAAAAACTTTTGACCTGTTTTTAGCGAAATTTTTACATTTATACCCCCCAAAACCCCCCTAAATATTGACCTAGAACAACCAAATTTGCACAGGGGCGAGAACTCCATGGGGCCCACCTACCTACCAAATTTGGTGTTTCTAGGTGCCATAGGAGCCAATCGCGAGGGGGGGGTCGCATCGACCCCCCCTGCCAGGCCGTGTTATGAAAAAGGCCCTGCCAGGGCGAGGGTTAATTTATATTCAATTTTCAGATTTCTCTCAATCCTAGCGCTATGCTTATGATGCCATTCTCTCGCCCTCCATTTTCTCTTTTTCCTCTCACTGCCTTCGCATACATTTCCCCTCTGCTCTGCTCTGCTCTCTCTCTCTCTCTCTCTCTCTCTCTCTCTCTCTCTCTCTCTCTCTCTCTCTCTCTCTCTCTCTCTCTCTCTCTCTCTCTCTCTCTCTCTCTCTCTCTCTCTCTCTCTCTCTCTCTCTCTCTCTCTCTCTCTCTCTCCCTGTTGCTCTCTCTCTGTTTCTCTCTCTCCCTCTCTCTCTCTCTTTCTCTCTCTCTCTCCGCCGACCTCTCACATTTCATGTCAGCGTTACCGTCCTCTGGGAGCTCGTTTCTCAGTACTGCAGTGCAAACACCGCAATTATCCTTGGCCGGGCTATCCTCGAAGTCCCCTGTTCAAATATGGTGTGCAAACGAACTAAATCTCTTAGGCAAACTCGGTCAGGTTGAGTCAAGATAAGATCGAAGACATGCTTCAGAAATGTTGAAGAGCATTGTTGGATCATAAATCGTGACAGATATTTCAGTAGCTATCTCATTAGGACTGAGCGCAATTATCTGAGCGTAATTATCATTGATGATTGTCCATAATGAGAGCGAGGCGTCTCACGTGTCTTTGAGCGTGTTCTTTTGCTAGGAAAAAACGCAGATCTTATTTCCAATTTCCTCGGAATGTTACAGTAGCTGCCTTGAGCCCAGCTGGAACCTTGCACAACTGGTAACTGATACCATGTTGGTGTTGCGGCACCAGAACATGAAAGCAATTAGAAAAGAACGAAACCCAGCAGCTATTCGAGTTCGGCGCTTTTGCGTTATTGAAACGTGGACGAATGATATGTCGACACTTGATAGTCGAGCCCTTCTGATTTAGTTTGAACATCTAGCGCAAAGCAGTGTTCGCCACGGGCCGCAAAATCTTAGTCCAGCCCAACCCAGGCCCATGGCGCATTGGGCTGGCCCGACCCGTGGCGAACCACTGGCGAAAAGTACCACAAACAAAGGAAATGGAATCGTGTGAACTCTGCTTACTTTCCGCTAACCTAAACTAACTTTATAAACAAGTCACGTGCGACTGCTTTCAGCGCGGCAGTCGGTACTTTGTAGGTATTGGTCTGGGTCCGACCAGCATGCCCTTCGGCGTTGTTTGGTCGCTGTAGCCAGAAGGCGATTATTGCGCAGCGCCGAAAAGGGAGCAGTCAATATGGCGTAGATCAGATAACGAAATTGGGGCCACATTGCGCGAGCTCTCTAGTCCAGGCACAAAGACCACTGTTTGGTGGTGCGCAATCACGACCCTGAATAGCATGGATACAATGCACCACGGCAAGAAACTGCAATAAAACGAGGACAGCTTTAGATCGTTTCGATTCGTGGCAAAGAAGGCTCTGGCAATTTACCATTGGCTAGAATCTCTTTTGTCCTATATCTTTAGAAACCTTTGAAGTCGAGATTACCTACATAAAATACAAGATGCAGAATAAAAATATCGGAGTTCTCAGTACTTGTGACAGGCATTATGTAAAGCAATCCTCTCAAAGCTAAGCCACCGTACAGAAAATACCAGCTCTGAATACTACGACGGGAAGTCCTGAGTTAGAACATCCCTCTCACCACTGCAGAGCTCTGTTTACGAAGAGCTTCCGCTCAGCCGTGGCGCAGCTTTCATCGCTGGCGACTATCTGAGTCGGCCAGATAGTGCTTCATAAACAGTGCGGCGCGGTCGGAACGGCAGGTCACCGGAGGTCAGCAGCGGAGAACGGGTGCTGGAGAGCGGTGGACGGGGCGGCCTGCAGCGCGGAGGGTGTCGGGTCGACAGGCTGATGGAAGTAATTTGTTCTGTTTTTATGTGGCCGGGCGAGGCATTATGTAAAGCAAGCCTCTCAAAGCTAAGCCACCGTACAGAAAATACCAGCTAATTTATAGTGTTCTGTGTCGCGTTAGCGGGAATATGAATAGCCTTCAAATGCTACTAAACAACAGTGGTTTGATGTTTGGTTGGATTATTGCTTCTGCATTTTCCAATTAGGCCTAAAACAGATTAAAATGTGTTTAAAGAAATTTCCGAAAAAGAAAAGATCTGGTGGTAACTGACAGGTACGAAATTGCAATGTCATCACCCACGAAAACACTAACCAGCAATGCATGCATGAAGCCTGAAAACAGTGCCCAGAGATAGCCTCATGAATATCTTCCAACAATGTTGTACAACAGCTGTCACTTAAAAACACATAGCGGAAAATTGCATCGCCAACGGGCCGCCATTCGCCGTAACTCATGTCAGCCTTATCGCCATGAAAATTAATCGCCACAGCTCCTTCGTCCCTGAATGTTGACGTCACCCCATAAATTCCACGACAGCATACCATAAATTCCCTGCCGGCATTCCATAAATTCCAGAGTTCTCTCGTGAACTCTTACACAGTGCTGGCAAAAGAGGCTCTTGGCGCTCGCTAGCCCATACACGATATAGCCCGATCCGCCTTTGGTATGACTCGTGATTTCTCCCTCACGTGGCGTATATGACAATCCCGTCACGTGTGATCACGGTTCGACGGCTCAGGAATTCTGGGCGACGGCGGAAATTCAATTTATGTGCAGATCCCAGCCTCGCCGTGCGAGCTCGGGCGACCTGCAATGGTGGAACACATTCTTTTGGTTCAGGACACGGGTTGTCGGCAATTGCAATAGCGCGATCCAGGGTCACCAACGCTTGGCCATAGGATGGTGAAGTTATTTTTAGAAAGCTGAAGCCATG